TAACTTTACTACCTAACATATTGCAATTTTTTGTGTACATACTATCTAGAAGATGCGCTAAATTCAGTATTAATTTTGCGGTGATTGCATTGCTCGTTGTGCCAATATTCTCATTTGATTGCAAATATAGGGGGTGGCCGGTGACTTTTGCCACGGGAGTGTAGGTACTCGGACTAGTAGTACGACAAGTACTAATTTAGCACATGTGTTGCGTCAAAATTTCCCGTGATTTTGATTAACAAAGAATTTGCTTTTAGCAACGAAAACGCGATAACACGTACTCTCCCTAACTATGGCTTCTTCAAGCAAAGACACTTTGAATCCACCAGCCGACGAGTTAACAGACTTTTTCCTCTACTTGGAAAACCACACGCATGAGGGGAAGTCTAACACGGAGCTGAACGACGACAGGAAACGCTCTCGCGACGCATACTTTGAGCGCTGGCTCGGCCACGCTCTCGCGAATGACACCGCCAATGCAACACTATTTCGAGAAAAATACGACAAGAGCGGTGACGCTGGGCGTAACAACATACTCGAAAATATATGGACGTACTTCTCCGAGCCAAACGCCGTGCGAACTGTCGCCACAGAAATGGGATTGACTTTGCAAGGCAAGCAATGAATACACGTTCGTGGAAGAGAGTATGATATTATCATGTTATCAGCTAGCATAGCTAGGTTATGTAAACTCATTTCCAAGGTGAACTGGAGGAGACAAGAGACATTATGGGTTAAATAGAGGAAGAATAGTTGAAATGCATTACATGCGTTGGGAGGAGCATTGAGTGGAGCATAGCAAATGCTCCATGTTCAGAGAGATTAGGCATAGAAGATCTTCGCCTCAAGCATACAACTGATTATACTTTCTATCCATAGCAGTTATTTATCTCATTCTCTTTTCATGCTAATATTTCTTGTCCGTTTTGACTTACATACATTATAATAGATCGAACTGGACAAAAGCGTAAAGCGGAGAACCTGGATGTCGTGACAGCCAAGAAAGCCTTCACTGACGAATTTGTGGACGTCAATGGGGTCATGAACGAATTCGAACAGCATATCAAATACTGCTTAGATACTTGCAACAAGGATCCGGTATATGCTCCCTACTTCGCTCTGATTCAGAGTTCGGGTTATGGTAAATCACGGTTGATTGCTGAGTTGGCTCAAAACACATACGTCATCTACATATGCTTGCATTCAAGTGATGCCCATGGATATCCTCTTCGCACCAGTGTTGCAGATGACCTCTTGTTAACTCTTACTACTTTGCAACGTAAGGAAGGTGCCCTTGCTGCTATTGTGAACGCGATGGGCTAACACCGAGGGTTCATGCTCGGCATCGCTTCATTATGGGCAATGTGTAGTTAACGA